TCATCCAGCCTGTCCTATCCAGACAGGCCTGCGGAGACAACATGCATAAAAACAAGACAGAGCAAAACCAAGCAACACTGTCTCACTGCTTTCTTATGACATATTTTAGTCTGGAAGGCATGGTTCTGCTTTTGTGAATGAGTGTTATTGAAAATTTTGCCCTATCATCAACACCCATTGTTTTTGTAAATAATGTCCAGTCATTTAGGAGTTTAATCTGTAAAGTCAACAATCTATGTATTGCAGTCTGAAGCTGGCCTTTCCTTGTACAATTTCCTTTTCTCAAGTGTTTTAAATTCTATACCACTGGCTAAATTAATGACACTATCAATAGAATTACCTTATGCCCTTGGGAGGATGACTTACAATGTTCTCTATCATAAAATGATATGATGGCTTTAAAGTGAACCAGAGACATATATAAACCATAGATATATGAGTGGATTGGGGGCTCACACTTAATTCTAGCCCCAGTCTAAGAAAAATTAGCTCTTATGACACGGCACTCTTCTATACTGAATAGATGGGTGCTATAGAAAAGTGTGGTGAAGAATCCAGATGGTGCCCGCCTATCAGAAAGAATAGCATTGGGGTCTTAAAAGCTTGTTTTCAAACAAGCAGCCATCTGAGTGAGGTGTCCATTACATCCACATGAAAGAGCACACCAGTCTGTGCGACACAAGGATTGGAAATATAATCCAAATCTGAAGGAGGGAATAGGATCAGACTTAAATGATGAACACGTGGTTTGCAGAAGGTTATGGATGACAATATAAGCCCGAAATCCATCGACAGGGTCTCCAGGTGGATTCAGCCTCCTGGGAATCCCCTCTGACCATGGGGGATGTGAATAGCCTCGCTATCTATCACATAGGGGGCACTGTAAAGTCAGTTATGCAGGTGCAGTTAGGTTGAAATGCAGAAACTTATCATTTGATCTCCCTCTTGACTCATTTTAAAGTCGCTTCAGTTCTGAATATTTTCTGCTTTTTTATTAAAGTTTTTTTATTTATTAAAAGATCATTTTATCGGGGGCTCTTATAACAATCCATATATCAATTGTATCAAGCATATTTGTACCTATGTTGCCATCATTCTTTTCTAGACATTTACTTTCTATTGAGCTCTTGGTATCAGCTCCTCATTTTTCCCTCCCCCCACCCCCACCCCTGCGACCCTCATGACCCCTTGAAAAATTATAAATTGTTATTATTTTCATATCTCACACTGACCGTGTCTCCCTTCCCCCGTGGCTTCTGTTGTTTGTCCCACTGGACGGTGTGTGTGGTTAGGTGTCTATCATAGCAATTGGTTGCCCCTTCCTCCCCTCCCC